CAGCCGGCAGCGCCGCGGCCCCGGGGAGCAGCACGGGGACACGGCGCCCACGGGGACAGGCAGTGCCACCCCATTGCTGCCCCGGCTGCGGGCAGGACGTGCAGCTCGTCAGCGCCCCGTGCTGGGAGACACACACATGTGCACGTACGGGCACATGCACACACGTGTGTGCATGCTCACGGGTGCATGTGCACGCTCACATATGCACATGCATGCTCAAGCATGCACCTGCACGCTCCCACATGCATGTGTGCATTCACGCATGTACGTGCACACTCACTCACACATGTGCATGCTCACTCACACATGTGCATGCTCACACACGTATGTGCACTCACACACATGTGCATGCTCACACTCATATGTATCCTTCTGCACATACCTGCATGCTCACACATGTACATGCACTGATGCATGTCCGTGCACTCTTACACATGTATGTGCATGCTCGCACATGCATGTACACGCTCACGCATGCATGTGCAAGCCCACGCATGTATGTGCATGCTCACACGTGCACACTCATGCATGCATGTGCATGCTCACACACGTATGTGCATGCTCACACACGTATGTGCACACTCTCACATGTGGATGCTCACACTCATATGTACGCTTCCACATGTACCTGCATGCTCACACATATATATGCACTTATGCATGTGCGTGCACTCACACGTATGTGCATGCTCGCACATGTATGTACACACTCGCACATGCATGTGCAAGCCCACGCATGTATGTGCATGCTCACACGTGCATGTGCAAGCCCACACATGTATGTGCATGCTCAAACGTGCACACTCATGCACACATGTGCATGCTCACACATGCCTTTGCACACTCCCGCACACCCGTGCACACTCCTGCATGCACGCAGGCACACCTGCACCCACACCAACACGCACACGCGTGCGCACACTCGGCCTCCGCTCCCACAGCCGGAGCAGATGGGTCACCCAACCCTGCAGGCCATGGCGGTGCCACGGGGGTGACATCGTCCCCAGGGGACCCTCGGTGCCGCCACGTCCTTCCTCTCAGCGCTGCCCGCGGGGACACGCACAGCAACCCCCCGTCCCGTGACGTGGGACACGGGGCAGGGCACCCGCGGTGCCCGGGTCACCCGCTCGCC